TAGATAACTGTCTCCTTTTCTCATGCTGCTTTTAAGAGTCTCTCCTTATCTTTAATCTTGGGTAACTTAATAATGATGATGCCTTGGCGTGTGCTTCCTTGGGTCCAACTTCTTTGGGACTCTCTCAGCTTCCTGGATCTCCTGAAAGTCTATTTCCTTTGTCAGATTGGGGAAGTTATCCTTTATTATTTGTTCAAATAAGTTTTCAGTTTCTTCCTCTTCCTCTTCTCCTTCTGGAACCCCTATAATTCAGATGTTGGAATGTTTAAAGTTGTGCCAGAGGTTCCTAAGCCTCTCCTCATATTTTTGAATTCTTGTTTCTTCATTCTGTTCTGATTGAATGTTTATCTCTTCCTTCTGCTCTCAAATGTTGATTTGAGTCCTAGTTTCCTTCCCTTTACTGTTTGGTTCCCTGTGTGTCTCTCTTTATATCACTTTACATAGCCTTCACTTTTTCCTTCATTTTGCAACCATACTCAACCAATTCAGTGAGCATCCAGATTACCAGTATTTTGAACTATTCATCCGATAGGTTGACTATCTGTTCATCACTTAGTTCTATTTTTGTACCTTTGATCCATTCTTTCATTTGGGCCATATTTTTTTTTGGTCTCAGCACGCCTTCCATCATTGGGATTTTGATAGGTATTGCATTGAATTTTAGTACACTTTGGGGACTACTGACATCTTAACAATACTGAATCTTCCAATCCATGAACATGAGCTATCCTCCCATTTATTTGTTTTAATTTCTTTTAGCAGTGTTTTGTAATTTTCAACATAGAAGTCTTTCACCACCTTAGTTAAGTTTATTCTTAAGTATTATATTCTTTTTTATGCTATTATAAATAGAATTGTTTTCTTAATTCCTTTTTCAAATTGTTCATTTTTAGTGTAACATCTAACTCATTTTATTGGCCAAAGTAATTACATGGCCAATCCCAAAGTCAGGAAGGAGGTGGGAAAGTACTGCCCACCCATCATGAGAGGGCACTGCAAAGTTGCATGGCCGAGTGAGTCAATACAAGGAAGAGGGAAGAATTGGACCCTGTAGCACTATATCCCACACTGAGCTTCCTACACAGATTTTAGCATTATTTTCCAGGGTTCTTCTTCAAAGTTGCCTGTGCCAATCCCTTCAACCTACACAGTTAAAATAAAAATGTAAAAAAAAGAAAGGGCAAGGGGATAAAGGAGTGGGTAAACAAAGGACATAGGTAACAGGGTGCCAGGTAAATTGCTGGTGCCCAGCTGAACAACTTAGTAGATATGGAGATAAGAACACAAGGCAAGGAATACAAAGGCCTGTTCCTGACCTTGGGAAGGTCTCTTAACATCACTAAGCCCCAGTTTCCTCCTCTGGAAGTGGAGTAGGTGACCTCTAAGGGCCTTTCCTTTGTTAACTCTGTATCAAATTCCAATTCTAACAGTGCTGCCCCAGAATAGGAATTAGTCCAACACTGGAAAATCTTTTGTCTTTATAGATCCATAGGCCCACACATCCATGCAAGTGGCCATCTGTGTGTCTCATAGATCTCATCATTTTCTCCTTCATACCGCAATTTATTAGTGTGCTTTTTTAAAAATCATATCACTAGGTATTTCCTTACAAGAAGAAAAATAGTCTTAACAATCCTAACTTTCTCCAGAACAATAGTGACCAAATAGATTTTTTTTAACTAAACTGAAGAAAAACTTCCAGCATTTTTAAATTTAATGGTTTCTCATGTGTTTTAAACTTCCAAGTAAATTTCTGATGGAAACCAAGTTGCTAGGAACACAACAGAAAATTCAACAGGTACTCTGTATTTGGATGAAATGATTTTTCTCTCACAACTACAATCAGTTTATTTTAATAACTCTCTGCTACAAAGTCTTTAGTAGATACAATATATCAGATTAATATTTGAGAATTGTAATGCATCAAAATATGTTCAATGACTGTGTAAATAAGTGTAACATTGTATATGTCCAGTGCAGTCTTGGTAAGAGTTATCTGAAAGCCAAAGTTCTTGACTTATAGAGAAATGAGATCAGTATTTAAAATTGTTTTCCTTGTCTCTGTTAAAAAATTTTTGGCCTGAAAATCATGTAAAGAGTAAAATAAAGGCAGAATTAGACTTTTACCAATTAAAATTTGAGTCTTCTTTTTATTGTTCAAATACATTTGTCTCCATTTTTTAGCCACCACTTTCCCCTGCCGCACCCACCCCCACCGCCCACCCTCAATCCTTCCTCCCCATTGGCTTTGTCCATGGGTCCTTCATACATGTTCGTTGACTTGACCCTTCCTCTTCTTTTCTCCATTTCCACCCTCACTTCTCCCCTCTCGTTACTGTCTGTTTTTTCTTTCAATGTTGCTGATTATAGTTTGCTTGCTAGTTTGTTTTGTTGATTAGGTTCCATTTATAGGTGAGATCATATGGTATTTCTCTTTCACTGCCTGGCTCATTTCACTTAGCATAATACTCTCCAGTTCCCTCCACACACTCGCAAAGGGCAATAGCTCTTTCTGCTGCGTAGTATTCCATTGTGTAAATGTATCATAGGTTTTTGATCCACCCACTTATTGATGGGCACTTTGGTTGCCTCCAGCACTTGGCTATTGTAAATTGTGCTGCTATGAACATTGGGGTGCACAGGTTCTTTTGAATTGGTGTTTTGGGATTCTTAGGGTATAATCAGTTCAGTCAAAAAGCAGTTCTATTTTTAGCTTTTTGAGGAAATTCCAAACTGTTTTCCATAGTGGCTGCAATAGTCTGCATTCCCACCAACAGTGTACTAGTATTACCTTTTCTCCACAACCTCGCCAGCATTTGTTGTTTGTTGATTTGTTTATGATGGCCATTCTGATTGGTGTGAAGTGGTATCTCATTGTGGTTTTAATTTGCATTTCTCTGATGGCTAGTGGTGCTGAGCATCCTTTCATATGTCCTGGGCCCCATGTTATGTCCTCCCTGTGTAGACACTCTTTGGAGAAGTGTCTCTTCAGGTCCTTTGCCCATTTTTTAATTGGATTGTTTGTTTTCCTAGAGTGGAGTTGTGTGCGTTCTTTATATATTTTGGAGATCAAACCCTTGTCCGGGGTTTCATTGGCAAATATATTGTCCCATACAGTTGGTTCCCTTTTCATTTGCTGCTGTTTTCTTTAGCCGTGTGGAAGCTTCCTATTTTGATGAAGTACCATTTGTTTATTCTTTCCTTTATGTCCCTTGCTCTAGGGGACACATCGGTGAAAATACGCTGCGTGGAATATGTGAGAGTTTCCTGCCTATGTTCTCCTCTAGGACTTTTATGGTGTCATGACTTATATTTAAGTCTTTTATCCATCTTGAGATTATTTTTGTGAATGGTATAAGTTGGTGGTCAAATTTCAATTTTTTGCATGTAGCTATACCATTTGTTGAAGAGGCTATTTTTACTCCATTTTATCATTCTGTCCCCTTTGTCGAATATTAATTGATCATGGAGACATGGGTTTATTTCTGGGCTCTCTATTCTGTTCCGTTGATCTATGTGTCTGTTCTTATACAAGCATCAGACTGTTTTGATTACAGTGGCCTTGTAATAGAGTTTGATGTCAGATATTGTGATCCCTCCTAATTTGTCCTTCTTTCTCAAAATTGCTGCATCTATTCATGGTCATTTATGGTTCCGTATAACTTTTTGAAATGTTTGTTGTTCTATATCTGTGACATATATCATTGTTATTTTAATAGGGATTGCGTTGAATCTATAAATTGCTTTGGGTAGTATGGAAATTTTGATGATGTTAATTCTCCAATCCATGAACGTGGTATATGCTTCCATTTATTTGTGTCTTCTTTAATTTCTTTCTTCACTGTTGTGTAGTTTTCTGAGTACAGGTCTTTTACCTCCTTGGTTAAGTTTATTCTTAGGTACTTTATTTTTCTTGTTTGTGTAGCAAATGGGATTTTTTTCCTGATTTCTAATTCTGATGTTTCATTGTTGGTGTACAAAAATGCCTTCAATTTCTGAATATTGACTTTGTATCCTACTGTTTTGCCAAATTCACTTATTAGGTCAAATAGTTTTTTGGTGGAGTCTATGGGGTTTTCTATGTACACTATCATGTCATCTGCAAATAGTGACAGTTTTACTTCCACCTTTCCATTTTGGATGCCTTTTATTTCTTTTTTCTTGTCTGATAACTGTGGCTAGAACTTCCAATCCTATGCTGAATAAAAGTGGTAAAAGCGGACTACCTTGTCTTGTTACCGATCTTGGTGGGAAAGCTTTTAGTTTTTGCCTGTCAAGTATGATGTTGGCTGTAGGTTTTTCATATATGGCCTTAATTTTGTTGAGGTATATCCCCTTTATTCCCACTTTGCTGCGTGTTTTTATCATAAATGGGTGCTGTACCTTGTCCAATTCTTTTTCCACATCTATTGATATGATCATGTGATTTTTGTTTTTCCTTTTGTTTATGTGATGTATTATGTTTGTTAATTTGTGAATTGAACCATCCTTGAATCCCTGGGAGGAATCCCACTTGATCATGGTGGATAATCTTTTTAATGTATTGCTAGAAGTGGTTTGCCAATATTTTATTGAGGATTTTAATGTTCATTCTTTACTACTATTACTATGTAGTATATATCTTTCCAACTCACTGCTTTGAAGAAATTATTTCTTTCATTATACAATTACTGTAGGAAATAATTAAATTTAAAAATATTCAATGAGTGAATATAAATAGCTTCATTTTTTAAGATAGTACAGGGATATAGGTAGAAAAAGGCACTTTGTATCATACAATAATTTTTACTTAATTGAATGAATAATAATCACCCTTTCAGAGTCCCAGAGTTATAAACACATCCCCTGTTTTCTTGGGAAGGGCAAGCATAAGAAAAATGCTGTGGGGAAAACCATATTGTACACCTGGCCTCTAGAGCCATGAAGACACTAAAACAACTCCTCAGGAACATGTCCTTTGGCTTTACCAATGGCTTACCTCTCTTTTCCTCTCCTTCTAGGCTGCCCCATCAAAGGTCACCCTACCCCCAATATTACCTGGTTCCACGATGGCCGGTCAGTTGCCACTGTCACAGGATTGATACATCATGTTTTGGCAGCTGGACAGATTCTCCAGGTTGCAAACCTAAATGGTGAGACTCAAGGGGAATTCAGTTGCCTTGCTCAGAACGAGGCAGGAGAGCTCGTGCAGAAGGCCTCTCTTGTCATCCAAGGTGAGAAACCCTTTGAGCTTTGGGGTACTGGGCTTATTTCTTGAGGACATAGTCCCCCTGAAAATCTAATTCTCTAGTAGACTAAGTGATTTCTGATCTCCAGTCATTCCTAGAGCATGAAAACTGAAACTGAACCATGTTTCCATACAATGAGGCCTTTCAGCAGAGCCTCCAGACCACCCCTCCCCCCCAGCAGAACCTGGAAAAGTTAGTGCTGCTTTCCTAAGAAGGCCCTACTGCTCATCATGTTGTTGCTGCTCAGGACCAAGGAAACTCCACCATATAGCAAAGTCTACTGTGTTTCCTTTATGCTGGGTTAACTGGTAAAGAACACACACACACACACACACACACTCTCACATGTAAAGTAACCTGTTAAGAAAAATGCAACTTTTCTTTGTTGGTTCGGTTCTAAAATAAGTCATAATTGGAACTCCTTTGTTGTTGCCTCCGGCCCTGGAGTGTCAGGGCTGGTGCCAGTACCTGCCCATCCCCCTAAAGACCCTTCAGCTGCAGTCACCCGCCAAGTGCTTTCCAGGCCCCTTTCCTGTGGCCCTGTCAGAGAACAGACTGAGAAGCCTGCGTGGCTGGTGCATTAAACCTCCTGGAAAACCTGCGGGTCGGAAAGCCCTTGGCCAGGGCCTGGTATTTGCTGCACCAAGAAAGTTATGAATAAATCCAAAACAGTTGGAGAGGGGCCAAAACTGGCCTTATTATAGAAACTAAGTGAGACTTTTGAGTTTTCGACCCCTCCATTGTACCTGTGGCCTATGTGTGGCACTTTCAGGGACAGCAAAGTTCTACTGCATATTTTAAGTGGAGGATCCTATGGGAAGGGACAGCCTTCTGTGCCAATATAGCCACAAAAAGGGAGACCGCTGAAAAATTTGGTTTTTCCCTTAAACACCCTTCCCTGCCATTTGGCTTTCCAAACAGGAAAGTAAATATTCCATTTTCTTGCCAGCCAGCCTTTCTCTGCCAAAAACTAGAGCCTATCTGCAAGATTTGTAACACACAACTTTGGAAATATGTGCTCATGGTTTATCAACCTACAGTTATTTAAACAGCTTTCCCACCAGTGAGTCTGAGACCCCCAAATAGAAAATCCAAAGAAATTGCCTTACTTCCTGATATTAATGTCTCATGTAATTGATTCCTCCCTGGATACGCTGGCTTTTTTTTTTTTAATCCTCACTTGAGGATATGTTTTTATTGATTTGAGGGAGAGAGAGAAACATCAGTCTGTTGCCTCCCATATACACCCCAGCTGAGGACTGAACCTGTAACCTAGGCATATGCCCTGACCAGGAATCAAACGCACAACCTTTTGGCGTATGGGATGACACTCCAAACAACTGAGCCACCCATCCAGGGCTAGGCTGGTTTTTTATAACATCTACAAAGTCTAACTTGAATCTGCACCTTTAAATATGATTAAATATCTCTGATATTTTTATATCTCTTTGTTGAAAAAAAGCCACTTTCTGGTGAGCCAGTCTAGCGGGGGCAGGGGGAAGAGCATTTTAGGAAGTATGCTTAAAAATAATAAAAGCTATAGCCTCTGGTTAAGTACGCTCTCTGTGCCAGGCACTGGGCTAGGCTCTTTACCTTCGTTATACCCAGGCCTCACAATAACTTGATGTAACAACTATGGTGCTCATTTTATAGAACAGCCAACTGAGGGCTCTGGAGACCACATAACTTGCCTACACAAGCTGGGAATAGAGCCCACTGAGGGGCAGAGGCTTATTCATAATGCCTACCCCACTTCTCCCCAATGCCATGCTCATAAGAAATATACAGTATGGACAATAATGCTCTCTACTTTTTACCTCTGATCCTCCTTCTGTGACAGATTACTGGTGGTCTGTGGACCGACTGGCAACCTGCTCAGCCTCCTGTGGTAACAGGGGCGTTCAGCAGCCCCGCCTGAAGTGTCTCCTGAATAGCACAGAGGTCAGCCCCACTCACTGCGCAGGGAAGGTTCGCCCTGCTATGAATCCTGTCCCCTGCAACCGGCGAGACTGCCCTTCTCGGTGAGTGTGGCAGAGGCTGGCTCAGGCCTCCGCACCCCTCAGTATGGACCCTGACTTTTAGCCAAGATGGTGACCAGCCCTTCTTTGACTAGCACTATTCAGGGAGAGACTTCAAGCACAGGTGAGAGGGCCTCCCCTCCAAGGAGCTGTTCTTTCCTATAGGCACAGGGTTATCAGGACTCTCCACCACACAGAAAACATCCCTCAGAATGAGCTTCCTCCCTCAGCCGTGTTTGTTTCCTCAGCTCTCAGCAGGTTAGGGCTTTCCCAGCATCCCAAGCACCTGAAAGGCTCTGTTCAGGAAGCAGAAACATCCCAGGCACTGGCAGGAGACAGGTCCCATCCTGCAAAGAAACTGGCTCTCTGTCTGTAGAAGAAGAAATGTGTTTGCAGTTGAAATGCTAAGGGCATGGGGATTACTGGCCTCTACCCCAACCCTTCCCCTTCCTTCTAACTTTAACTACCAGTGTTAATCAGTACTTCATTTTTAGTTAAAGAAATCTTATCCTCCTCCTTTGCCACAAATGGTGGCATTCTGCTGAAGTTGAAATAACTTCATTTCCTATAGTCACCTCAATGTTGGATATACATTCCCTCATAGAATCTAGATGACACCCACAGTCTCCGCCTCTCACACCTTCCTTGAGCTTTGAGAAGCTGTGAGTCCCACTGAGTGTGCCCACCGCAGTCTTCAGTCAGTAGCTACAGGGATAATGGATAGGCTTAGAGTTGGCACCAGCATGGTGCCCTGAGCCTGGGGGAACTTGGCTGGTCCCTGAAATGCCCCTTTACTACCCTATCTATGGGACTTTCATATACCACTTAGGCAACCGCTTTGTGTTTTGCCAGCTGAGTCATAAGGAGCAGCTGAAACCAGGAGAGACTCAATGAAATATGAAACACACTCATTAATATCAGCAGTTTGACTTGCTGACGGGAAGGTTTCCACAGGAATGATTAATGTCCTTTTATACCCTTCCTGAACTGTAACATAGCCCATACCTCTCCTCTCTTAAACCCCTCACCCCAGCTCCTGAAAAATTGCTGAAATGTATATTTGGAAATAAAAGTTGATTGAAATGCAGGCCTGACATTCACCAGGGATATGAGAGACTGGAAGACTGCCCTTGCCAAACTGTGTGAAATGAAGAAGAGGTCTTGGACATGCCAGGGACTTTCTGGTTTGCTGGGGTGATGGTCAGAATCAATCAGCCTCATTTACTTCTGCAAACGAAATAATGGCTGTGTCCGCTTGAGTTTCAGTGCCCCCAGGAGCTTTCAAACACCTCCTGCCTGCTTCCTAAGTGGCTCTGCTGCCGTGGGTTGGAATTCTGAATGCAGTCCTCTCTCTCAGGGCGCACGGAGCACGGTAGTTCCACCAAACTAAACAAGCCATAGGTCCAGATGCAGGCGTGATTTGCTCCACCCCTGCTACTTGCCTCTCCTGAGAGCCAGATGGGGCACTACCGGAGTAGGAAGTAGCCGCAGGTTCACCTTTGACTGGTTTCCACGCCTTGGGCCCTTTGGCAGCTTTCTTCACATAAACACACAGAAAGCATGGCCTCGGTCATCTTTTTGAATGGCTGTGAGCAGTTCTGTTTTGACCCAGATGGGACCCCTCCACGTAGCAATAAATTTTTTCTCATGCAGTAAAACCAATGAATGCTGTTTTTTCCTCCAGGTTGAGTGAAATGGCTAGAAAGCACTATCTTTTCTCGCTATTTTCCCCAAACCGCCCCCCTTCCCCTCCTCTTTGAGAATTATTCCAAGGTGTAAACATGCAAAGTGTTTGTATATGGACCAAGGATTTCAGAGTTTCCTAGGTGATGTCTCAGCTCTCTGAGAAAAGCCATTTGTCACTCTCTTGGTCAGTGTCACTTCCAAGGATCTGATTTGTAGTTGGAACCAGCATTCTGAGAACTACTACTTTCAGCCCTCTAAGAGGTGTAAGACCTATGGACTGTGGCTCATAGAGGTGGGAAGTAGCTCCAGAAAGTTGGAAGGAACTTTGCATGGGTCTGAAGCATTAAACAAAATGAAATGAGACATGGTTAAGGTGAGGCAGAAAATACAGTGAGTACTAGCCGACAAAATGTCAGCTTAAGTAAGACCCAGATTGCCTCCTAGACCAGGAAGTAACACAGATTTGGCTCTGACTCCCCTAGGAAATTGTCTCTCCTTTGCCACACACTTTGGTGCCTTTGCAAGTACCGGAACTGCAGTTTAGTGTATCTAGCTCAAGACTATTTCCCCCACAGTGTTCCATCTGCAAGCACACAGCTTTGGTGACCAGGGTCAAACTGAAGCAACTGGTCTTCAGGATATTCTTTCAAGATGTACCTTTTTAGTCAGTTTCCAAAGGGTATCTGTTTCCTGTGACTGCTGTAGCAAATTTCCATAAACATGGTGGCTTAAAACAACAGAAATTTATTCTCTCTCTTTTGAAGCCCGGAAGTTCAGAACCAAGGTGTCTGCAGGGTTGTGCCCCCTCCAAGGGCTCTAGGGGAGAATCTGTCCCATGGCCTTTGCAGCCTCGGCTGCCTCTGGGCCTCCCTTGGCTTGTGACCGCATCACTCCATCCTCTGCCTCTGTGGTCAGGTTGTCTCCTCCTCTTTGGTGTGGAACCACCCCCTGCCTTTCTCTTATAAGGATACTTGTGATGATATTTAAGGCCTACCCAGATAATGTAGGATAATCTCATCTCAAAATCCCTAATTATATCTGCAATGACCCTTTGTCCAAATAAAGTAACATTCACAGGTTCCAGGAATTTGACGTAGCTTTCTTTGGGGGGCAGGGAGGGGGGCCATCGTCAGCCTATTGTTACCAAATAATGGACCCGTGGCGGGGGGTGCCCAGATGCTACTACTGAAACAACGCTCCCCTTCTTCCTCGGGGTCCCTCAGTTGTAGGTTCTTTGCCCGCTGCCCTTGAAATTATGGCTCTCAATGGCAGAGTTTGGTGAAAAGGAAAAATAACTATTTATTCAAAAGTTACACAGGTTTTGATTAATGGCTAAATGTTGCCCTTAAATCTCAAAATCCCTTCAAAACACCCACCATTTAAAAAGTCTGCCAACACACACGGTCCTTCTTTCCCCTCTTTGCCCAGTCAGGCCAGTCAGGCCAGTCAGGGTACCGTCCTTCAGAAGAAAAAGAACAGAAGTCCGGGGCTCGGCTGGGCAGGCCTCTCACTGTTCCCAGCACCATCCGCTGTGTCGCCGCGATCTCCAGCTCTTAATCCAAAACCATGTGGCACCCTCTCATGGCCTACTAGCAAGAGTCCTTTCTCCCCTTTTCTTCCTACATGGTCTTCCCATTGTTCCCCAGAGTCTGTGTCCCTTTGTCTCTCCCACAGGCCCTGTCTCCCCTTCCCAGTTACATCCTGCTTTGTAAACCGCATGGTCATAAAACCCCTGGGTTTTAAACCCCTGCATGAATCCTCCCCCGAAACCCCATCTCCAGCTCCTTTGGCAAGTGCTGTAACTAGGGGAGCTGCTGCCCAGTTCCCTCTTGGGTTAGAGTTATGCAAACCTTCCTGGTTAGCCTCATTGATATGCAAAATAACCATCTTTGCATATGAAGTATGAAGCTCACCTCCTGTTATTGACATGCAAAAAGACTCTCAATTGGCCCTGCTCCCTGTCTCCCTTCCCCCATGGCAGCCCTGACAGGGAGGGGGAGGGGAGAATAGTCTCTATTTTTCTTGGACACCCCAACTTCTGGATCCCGGTACAAATCCCCTTTGGGGGGCCCTGACTGTGTCCTGTTACACTATCACTTCAAGTATGTACTGTGAAAAGGGCCATGGCCCCCAAATTAGAAGCTGTGTGGTGAGCGCTTGGAGATGGGTGGGACTCTTGTTCTGAGAGGTACAGCATCGTTCTTTTCCCCAAGACGGGCCCTTTGTAGCTGCCCTGACTCCCCTTCTCTCCACAGCTGGATGGTGACTTCCTGGTCTGCCTGTACCAGGAGCTGCGGAGGAGGCATCCAGACCCGCCGGGTGACCTGTCAGAAGCTGAAAGCCTCTGGGATCTCCACTCCTGTGTCCAATGACATGTGCACACAGCTTGCCAAACGACCGGTCGATACCCAGGCCTGTAACCAACAGCTCTGTGTGGAGTGGGCCTTCTCTAGCTGGGGCCAGGTGAGAGAATTTTATTTGAAAGGTAAATCTGAAGGTGCTGACCCTGCCATAGTCGGGGGTGCCTAGTATGTGATCTCCCCTGGAAAGTGTTCCACATGCACTGAGAAAAATTTGTAATCTGCAGTTTGGGGATGAAAAGCTCTATAAATATCTATTAAGTCAAACTGGTCTAATGTGACATTTTAAAACCATTATTTTCTTATTAACTTTTTGTCTGGATGATCTAGCCATTGAAGTAAGCGGAGTAGTAAAGTCCCCAACTATTTTGTGTTACTATTAATTTCTGCCTTTATGTCCATTAACATCTGCCTTGCATACTTGGGTGCTCCTATGTTGGGTATGTAGATATTTATGATTGTTACATCCTCTTCTTGAACTGACCCCTTTAAACTTGAGAAATACCTTTGTTTCTTTTTACATTCTTTGTTCTAAAGTCTATTTTGTCTGACATGAGTTGTAGCGCAGGAGCCCCAAACCAGAGAGCTGCTTAAGTGTTAATGATATTCTGGAAAAAAACCACCCGGTGGACTTGCCGATGTGAACATGCCATTTACTACTCACATTACTGGGGAGTGCACCACCGGCAGTGGGTCCGTGAGAGAAAGACCGGCCCTCCTCCAGTCTGTGGCTCATTCTAAGGGGTCCCCTGCAAAGGAAGCATGTGTCCCATGCGGGACTCTGAACTACCTTACCTCAGTGTGTACCTTACCTCAGTGTGTACGTGCAGAAAGAAAGATCAAGAAGCAGTCATGGGACCAGGAGCCACTCCTAAAAGTAGATAAGGAGGGAGTTACAACCCATTCCCAAAACAATACACATTCCCTCCGGCCAGGGGCCTCCTAGCCAGCCCCCATCGCAGGTAGTGGAAGCTGCCAGGCCTTGAGCTACCCCACAGAAGTATTGCTACCCCAACTTTCTTTTCACTTCTATTTGCATAGACTATCTTTCCCCATCCTTTCACTTTCAGTCCATGTGTGTCTTTCTATCTAAAGCAGGGGTGTCCAAACTCTTGTCATCTCTGGGCCACACTGGAAGAAGAGTTGTCTTGGGCCACACATTAAATATACAAACACTAATGAAAACAAAAAAATCTCATTATGGTTTAGGTAAATTTACTATTTTGTGCTAGGCCACATTCATAGCCATCCTGAGCTGCATGAGGCCCACGTGCCACAGGTTGGATTCTAAAGTGAGTCTCTTGGAAGCAGCATGTGTATGGGTCATTTTTTTAATCCATTCTGCCACCCTATTTCTTTCAATTGGATCATTTAGTCCATTTACATTTAAGGACTAAGGTATTGACATTTTGTTAATTATTTTTTGGTTATTTTTACTGTTTTTCTCTTCTTTTGCTCTGCTCTTGATTTTTCCTTTGGATTTGTTGGTTTTCTTTGGGATTTTGATAGAATTTCTTTCTCTTCATTTTTTGTGTATTTTTTTCTTTTTAGCTTATGGTTACCATGAGGTTTATATATACATTCATCCATATCTATAGCTGTCTATTTTAAGCTGATGGACATATGAAGTTCAATTGCATTCTAAAAGCACTACATTTTTGCAACACCTCCATTTTTTATTTTAGATATCATGTTTAAATGTTTTTGTTTCGTATATCCCCTGATTATTTATTGTATTTATAGTTAATTTTGCTGCTATAGCCTTTTAACCTTCATATCAGCTCGTTAAGTGGTTGATTCACTGTGATTATTGTATGTCTGCCTTTACAAGTGTCTCATGGCGCATGGGGGAAGTGCCGCGAGCCACTGCTCGTCTGGGTGTGGGCAGCAACTGCCACAGTGGGTACCAAGCATGTTGCGGGGATCGCGGCTCCCCGGGATCTGAGGGTTACCATCCGGGGCCTGCTGAGATGGGGGCATGGGCTCTGAGTCCTGCAGAGGTTGTCCTGGGGTTGTCCCGGATTGGGGAATAAACACAAATTGTTGCAAACACTTTTCTGTTTGCCAGGAGAGGGGACACGACACATCCCTCTAGTGGGGAAGACCCGGAGTCCCTTTGTTCAAAGGCTTTTATTATCAGTGGGGCTAGGTAACAGGAATGCACAGGTTATCTCATTATATCAGTAGGTTAATGTTTACAGAGAACAGGTGATGTTTTGAAGAAAACAAATGGCAGGAACACACCGATTTACTTGGGGCCGAGAGTAGGCTTGTAAATGTGGAGATGACTAAACAGGAGGGTGTAGTAAACACAAGAGTGCCTAAGGGTATAGGGTAGGGTCTGTGGATAATGTCAATTTCCTTCTCAGCATGAGCTGGCTATAGCTTCTGAGGGAAAAACAAAGCATACTTTAAAGAATTTACTTTTAGGCCTGATTTCTCTGGGAACTGCCAGATCTAGTTTAGGACTGTCTCTGGTATTATTTTGAGCCTGAGCCAGGTTAGGGGTGGTGGGTAGCGGAGGAGCTGCCAAGAGACGAGAAGGCTGCTTTCAAATAGAATGAGGACTCCAGCCACACTCAAGCTAAACCAAGAGGTGAGGGCCTTTTTGTCCTTCCTCCTTGTCTGCTTCCCATACCGGTCGATGTCTGGCTCAGGTTGCCCCTCCACTGAGGGGTCTTACCCGTGATCAGCAAGCGACCCTCACAGAGCCAAGCAGAGAGACAGGAGCTGTGCTCCTGCCAGGAGTGAACAGGTTATGTCTCCTCAGGGACCTGTTTCTCCAAGGCCTCCCTGATTATTTCCAGCCTTGGGGCCCTCCTGCCTGCCGGCGGGGTTACAGTTCCTGAAACCAGACAGGGCACTTTAACCTTTATATTAGCTCTTTAAGTGGTCGATTCATTGTGATTATTTTATATTTGCCTTTACAAGTGAGATTTCTTTTCTTCCCTGTATTTTCTTATTTCTGGTTACAGCCTTTTCTTTTCTACCTAAAGAAGACCCTGTAACATTTCTTATAAGGTTGGTTTAGTGGTTGTGAATACCTTTAGTTTTTGCATGTCTGGGAAAATCTTTATCTTTCCTTCAATTCTGAATAAATACCTAGCCAGATATAGTATTCTAGACTGTCAAGTCCTTTCTTTTAGCACTTTAAATATTTCCTGCCACTCCCTTCTGGCCTGTAAAGTTGCTTCTGAAAAATCAGCTGATAGCCTTATGGGTTTTCCCTTGTACATGATTTGTTTCATTCTTGCTGCTTTTAAGATGGTCTCTTTAACTTTAACTTTAACTTTTGCCATTTTCATTACAATATGCTTGGTGTGGGTCTCCTTGGGTTCAATTTGTTGGGAACTCTCTGTGCTTCCTGGACCTGGAGGTCTGTTCACTTCCCCAAAACAGAGAAGTTTTCAGTCATTATTCCCTCAAACATTCTCTCTGCCCCTTTCTCTCCTCCTTCTGGATTCCTACACTACCAATGTTAGAGCACTTGAGGTTATCCCAGAGATCTTTTATACTATCCTCATTATTAAATTTTTTTCATTTTTCTTTTCCGATTGGGTGATAACCAGTATTCTGTCTTCTCACCCATTCTTCTGTATTAACTCATCTGTTGTCAGTTTCTTCTAATGTATTCTTTATTTCAGTTATTGTGTTCTTCATCTCTGATTGGTTCTTGATTACATTTTCTATTTCTTTGCTGAAGTATTCTCTGAGTTACTCTGTTCTACTCTCAAGTTTGCTGAGCATCCTTATGACCATTTTTCTTTGAATCTTTTATTAAGCAAATTACTTATCTCTGGTACATGAGGGAGTTTCTCTGGGTTGTTTTTTGTTTTTTGGTTCATTTTGTTTTTGTTTTGTTTTTTAGTTCCTGCATTTGGGGACTATTCTTCTCTCCCCATTTTGTTTGACTTTCTGTATTTGTTCCAATGAGTTGGATGGAATAGCTATGTCTCCCAGTCTTGAAAAAGTAGTTTCTGTGTAGATGTGTATCAAACAGTTTTGGCAGGCCAGTTGTAGTCAGGGAAGGTGCATGTGGTGCCGGTGTGCCCCCTGGCCTGAAGGAGTGGGTCCCAGGAAGCCTAGTGCCTGCTTCCTTGTCCTTCTAATCTGGGTGGGAGTGCTTGGTGTAGACGGGGCTGCACAGTGTGCCTGTTGTTTTAATTATCTGTTGTCAGAGCATCTGCACAGGGTTGCTCTGCATGCTTGCCCGTCAGTGTCCTACTAGCTGCACCCTTTCTCAGGTGGAACAGCCTGCGTATGCCCACAGCTGTGTTTTTCTAGTTCTATACTCTCTCCCAGCAGGGCATCCCTGCATGAGCACACAGAGGCATCTGATTCACTGCACGTGGAGCAGCCTTGCACATGTGTACCACAAAGTTTTGCTGGCTCTGAACTTTCTTCAGGTGAGGTAGTCCCACATGTGTGTGCAGCAGTGCCACACTGTCTCTGCACTTTTTCTGGATGAGGCAGTTCTGCATGTGGGCACCACAGCACTTTGCTAGCTCCACACTCTCTCCAGGAAGGCAGCCCCACCTGAGCACATAGCAGCGCCCCTTTATCTCTTCACTTTCTCTGGGTGGGGTGGCCCTGCAGCATTTTTCTAGTTCTGCACTCTTTCTCTGGGAGGAGTCTTGTGTACTCGTGCAGCCCAATAGGTACGTTAAGCATTATTCTGCTATACCTGCTAGATCAATCTCTGGGTAGAGGGGCCTCTTGTATTCATGCTCGTGTGCCCTCCTGTTTCTGCTTGATCTAGCAGCAAGAGGGGTGGCTGTGGACACACTGTAGCACCCTGCGTGTCTGCCAGAGAACCTGAATGGAACTCCTGCCCATTATCCATGTGTAGGAGAAACATAAACCGTCTTGCTCAGTGGTTCCTCTGGTGCCAGGTTGTTCCCTCAGCTTCCAGAGAACTGTCACAATTCCCCAAACTTCTCTGTATAGTCTCTCTCTCTTATTGTGCAGAAGCTGTTCAAGTGGCTCAGAATTGTCTTCTAGGAGGAACTGCTCTAAATATAAGTGCATATTCGATGTATTCTTAGGAGGGAGCAAGCTCAATGTCTACCTATATCACCATCTTCAACCTGGTAGAATGTTTTA